ATTATAAAATTAATTAAGCTCTGATATTGAGTACATGAATAAACACTGTAATAGTGAGTTCTAAAATATGTGTAATACTGCTTAAAAACGAAGTTATAATACATTTAAATAAATAATGGAACACAAAACGTTTCATTTAAGATGCAAATATGCAAGAGAAATACACAATATAACTTAGGAAAAAAGAATGCTGTAACATTTAGGAGAAAAATGTTTGTATTTATTTAGAAATTTTTAGAAATAGAATCGGAAGGAAATTGTTGAATCTCACTTCATCTGAAAACATTTACATCACATTTTAGTCTCCAGATCACTATATTCTATAAAAATCATTTCACATACTCTTTTCCTTTTGCACTTGAATATAAAGTACTAAGAAGAAAATCTGTCTTTATAATAATATAAAAATATGTATTGTCTTTGAATTTTCTCTTCATTACTTTAACGTTCAAAAAATCACTTTGTATTTATTTTTTCTTCAAGCCTAAATTTGCCCTGAAAATCTCAATGAAACAAATATTTTGACCACATATGAATTCTATCTTACACTAAAAGCAGATGGCTTCTTAGATATACAAACATGTAAGGCAGCATATGCTTTATGCTGACAATTCTTTTAAAGGGGGATATTGTAATTTCTTTCTTACTGCGAAAAATTAAGCTTACGAAAAAATAATTCCTAAATGATTCAAATATTATACCAATACAGATGTCGAATAACAGCATTCAAGATTAAAGTTTTGGAAGCCAACACGTTTGATAGAGATTCATGGAAAATTTACAAAAAATAAGATTATTAACTGCTTTAAAAAAGCAGAAATTTTATTACTAGATTCAACCAGATTCTGTTTGATTGGACCATTTTCACTCATAACTGCTAAGAAAATACGGTTAAAATAGTAATCAAACTTCATAAAACTACTGGTTTCACCAAAGTGAAATAAGTGCATCAGCATTTGGTCAGGTTAGGTTATTTGCATAATATAAATCACACAAAGACTCTTTGCCTAAAAGAAGGATGTCTTCGTGGAAGACGTTCTTAGGAAAACTGACTAGTATTCATATTAAATTTAAGAACAGCCATAAAAGTCAACCATGCAGATAGCAGTCTGACTTGGTTAGAACCCAGGCTGAACTACCAGCATTCAGCGGTTTTAACTACTCAAAATCTGAAAGGATCATTTCGAGAAAACTTGAACCAAAAAGATTTCGTATCATTATATTAAGGAATAATACTAATGTGTTATCGGGTCATATAACTGCGAATTCGAAATTGCAACACAGGAATTTTTTTAAATGTCACTAATACATAATGAAGGTAATCTCTCCCTTTACCGAAATTTTAAATCCAAACGAAAGACGTATTTGATAAATAAATTAATAAACTAATTGCATGCATTGAAACACAAAGTAATAAAAGCTATCAGAAATTACAGAATGAATGCCATATTTTTTCAATGTACTTAAAACAATAAATAAAAAACAAATGCGGAGCAATCCAAAAGTTTTCTTTTGTCATTTCACATTATTTATTTTTGCGTGATTCTATATTTTTATTTACAACAGCTCACTTTTTGCCAATGTAACTTTTTTAACATCGAACATTTCCAGAAGAGAATTTCGAATGGCACGAAATAAACTAATCACTTTATCAGGGGTTTACGAATCTCGAGCTTTCTCAAGATCCGGGAGCAGCCGCTATCTACTGTAGATACGGATCATGGAATGCTACGGAGGAACGAGCATCATTGGAAAAGGGAAAAAAAGTTTCAACTAATATTCCTTAGACAATTTCCTAAGAATTCCTTGAATTTAAGTAGTTCATTCAGAATGACGGTTTTCATTAGCTCAAATGCAACGGGGAGATGAAAGTAACAATACAACCTGAATTTACATCCTTTCAGTCTTCATTACGCATATGTGCATGTTTCAGGAGGAATTGAAAATTCTTCCCTCACAAAGCATTTTTCTGAACATTTGTTTAAATATTAGCTTAAATAGCCACTCTGATTTATTCGTAGTCCATTGAACTAAAAATATTACATTAAAGGATTACATTAAATTAAGTATTACATTAACATTACTACATTAATGGATAAGTATTACATTAACACTATTACATTAACCTATTTATTAATTTATTACATTAATAAAAATTACATTAAAGGATAAAGAATAAAGAAAAAAATCTCAGAAAATTGTGTTTACTATGAGAGTATAAAGGAGGAAATCTTTGTAACCAAGAGCTTAGATTTATCATATCTCGAAAAATCGAAATATTCTCATAAAATCGTATTGCATATTGGAAGACAATCATATTTCGCAATATTTTAGGTACTGATTTCAAATCCTTCTGCAGCCCAAAACTAACTAATGCATATTTAATGGTTGTGCATTAAAACATTATACTGCACAAACTAATTGATACTTTTATTTTTTCTTTAGAAAAAATTTTGTAATAAAAGTACTTTAATTTTCGTGAATTATTCATTCAATTAATACATGCTGAAACACAGTTACTCCGTTGAACGTAGAGGAGTTTTCCCGTTGTGTTAAATTTTGGGATACACACACAGCATATCACCGGTCGATATATTTTAAAGTTTCACAGTTTAAATTAAGCGCGTATCTGTAAGAAACTGTTGTTTGCTTAAGGAAAATTTAGGCTTTTCGAACAACTGATAATTATCAAACACCAACTAGGCCTTATTTATGCACTACATTTACATGCCTCATAGTAAACGAATAAATTTCGTGCATCAGTATAAGTTTGTTGCATACTTCTCATTCTTTATGTGCCCAGTATCTGATTTTATTGCACTGAATCCAGTCCTTTTCAAAGGTTTCATCCCAGATCTTTGTCTAATGTGTTAATTTTCAACTAGACTAACAAGATTTAAAATTTGACTAGTTTCCTCTAGAGTTGCTCATCTTTAGTGGTTTATCTGTGTTTTATTTACATAAGCGGTTTACTTTCTTTGCAGCAGTACGTACCAAATGCTATAATTTTACATTTATATATTACAAAATATGTAAGTTCTTTAAATTATCCGAATCACCCTGCATATAGTGTCCAGGGGCACTCAAATGAGCTGACTCAATATATTTAACAATAAATTATGCAACGTAATAGAAATTTGCTAACTCCTTTAAGGAAATTCTTCACATTAATTAAAACATATTAAATTTAGTAACGGTATTATAACCAAAAATTGTTATGCAACAATTAATTTTGTTTATAAAAAAGCAATAAACTTACAAAACATTTTACTTTAAATTTGATTGTACCCTGTTACTGTCATTTGCACATTTGCAAATTTCTGCATATTAAGCAAAATGTAAATGCACTTAACTACATCGCAAGCATCGGTGAAGTTTGATGAATACAATTATCACTATTAACAGGAACAAAACTGCTTGGCACGATTAATTTTCTTGGCATTTGCACTGAAATTAGTTTGAAAGTTTAAATGAACATACATAGACGTGCTACCAAATGCCACTTGTTTTCATTTTCAGGTTCCCTGTGAGCGGTAGTAAAGTGTTTGGGACTATTATGCTTTATTTACAGCAATGATAAGAATTGTACTAATTTCGGGCATTATATTTCCAATTAAATGTAACTGGTCTGCGAATTCTAATTAAACGTACTTAGTTTGTGAATGCTAATATTTATTAGCTTCCACTTCCTAATCAAATAAAGCTGCGAATCTTAAAATACTAGTTACGCTAAATGTACCAGCAGAGCGCATGATACAGTGGTTGGCGTCCCAGACACAAATGGCTACATAACTAAATTCTTTGTAAGTTTTCCAATGGGCCGTCAATAAAATATACAGAAAATATTCATGTTTCAAATACTCTGCGTAGGTTAGAAATTCTAGCTTCTATTTATTGTAAATGCAGCGTTTCCCATTTCCACGTGAGATGAGAGAATTGATGCGGTTTAATATGCTTCTTTAAAAAACTAATAATTAAGTAACAAACAGCCAAGTCATTCTGTTAAAAAGGAATTGACTTTACGTTTATGTTCGAAGTTTATAATTTACATCATGCATTCTTTTGTGTACACTCTTGAAACTTTGAGTAAAAAATTTCTAGTTGCGGTTATCAAATACTCTCTATTACGTTATCTAAATTTTATTTTTGTGTTTGCATTGACCAGTGTATTCACTATTTTTAAAGAAAACAAATGAAACAGATTTAAGAGATATTTCGATTACAGGAACTGCTAGTGGATAAATGATGCCTTTATACCTATTATTTTAATGATAGTGGAGAAATTGTCAGGATCTTGCGCGCTAATTCGAAGACAAACTATTCGAGTTTAGGAAATTTATTTCAACTTAAATATATGAAAAACTAACAAAAACATATATTAAAGGGACTATATTCTAAATGTTTCATTTAATCAAGTTCTGCTATTCAGTCAATGAGACGCAATAAAACTAATAATGGTATTAAAAGTAAACTCACTTAAATCAAAATCGAAGAATAGGAAATGTATAAGGAAGAAGACATTTGCTTTAACATAGTTTCAAGAGAAGAAAGTCAGTGTTAAAAGGAGTATAAAAAGATGATATTTTCAAAAGCGAAGAAGTAATTGCGTAGCCGAAAGCCTGAAATTTCTGATTTGATATCTATATATTCGCTTAATTTAAGATATTTTACTATGATTATCACTTATAGTGAAACGGATATCCATTCTTTCGAGAAAACAAAATGGTTGCAAAATAATTACAAAAATTAAATTGTGTTTCCTTTATTGTTACATAGAAAATATTTAATCACTTTACTTGCATTTTGTAAGAGATAATATGACACAGAACTTTCGAATATCTGTCATATCAAGCGATTGACTGAAAATACTATTATATGTCAATTTCATTTCCAGAACAAAGATAAAATTTCAACTTTTTGAAATTCACTCTGCTGCTATTCAGTTATTTGTTTATCTGTACTTATTTATTTTTAACTTTTTTATTCGTTTTTATTTATAGTTACAAATTTATGGGTATAACAGCGACCTGTACCAGAACATATCGGAAGCAATGGCTCTTCAGAAAAACCAAGGCTTAGTTGCCATCTCAATTCTGCTTCAAGTAAGTTTTAAATATCAGATAATAAAACCTGCAATAATTTTGCTATGCTTTGTAGTCACATTTCATTTAAATTTTTGATATTTGGATTTGACTTCCTAAAATATGAACAAACTGAAGGATTCAAAACATTATGTTCAGAACTCATTAATAAAGACATTTTGTTAGTCTAAAAGACATTCAAAGCAAGTTTTATTCTTTTTCTATCGCCAAATATATCTTACTGTAAGATTTAATAGAGAAATGTGTTTCTTTAAATGTTTCTTAAAGTGGCTAAGTTTTGCTAGATATTTGAAAGTTTTCCTTGAAAATGATTAGTACTGCTTGGTACTACTGGATGTTCATTTGCATATTATATTTCAAACTTAAATGATAAAATGCAGTGAAGGAAAGTGCCGATCAAATGAATGAAAGTATAAACGAATGTGGTTTTAATAAGCAAGTTTTATTCTTTTTCTATCGCCAAATATATCTTACTGTAAGATTTAATAGAGAAATGTGTTTCTTTAAATGTTTCTTAAAGTGGCTAAGTTTTGCTAGATATTTGAAAGTTTTCCTTGAAAATGATTAGTACTGCTTGGTACTACTGGATGTTCATTTGCATATTATATTTCAAACTTAAATGATAAAATGCAGTGAAGGAAAGTGCCGATCAAATGAATGAAAGTATAAACGAATGTGGTTTTAATTACGTGAACACTTTGTAGAGGCATTAGGTATTTTTTTGAAGGCAGGCAAGCTGAAAAATATGCAACGCCTTCGCCGGGAATCGAACCGCAGACCTCTCAATCACGCGCTGAGCGTGCAAACCACTAGACCACGAAGGCTTGCTAAGAAGGAGGGAGAAATACCTTATAACTTTTAAACCCATCAAATTTAATGACTGATTTCAAATAAAAACTTTTCTTATGATATGCTACTAAATATTTTATTTACATGGATTTTATTTTTTTTTAAATTTATTTATCGCATTTTTAAGTTGATATAATAATTTGAAGTGTTATGTAGATGGCAATGATGAGTCAAATTTTCACTGATGAGTAGCATCACTTGATGAGTTGTATCAATTTAGCACGTGAATGCAAACGTATTTTAAAATGTGGAATTTTGCATAATGTTCTCATACACTGTAGTGTTTCGGATAGATACATAAAAACGATATTTTCTATTCAATTCATTTATTTATTACCTATTAGGGCTTTATTTTCACTGCATAGATTGTTAATCTCTAAGCAATAAAACAAGCATAAGACATATGTAACAACAAAATAATTTCGAATTTTGGAAAGCCAACCGACTTACTTTTTAAAGATTTGAGAAGAAATATACTTTGTGTATCTGATGAAACTAGGAAAGTATAATCCTCTTGAGGATCATTCCAAAATAATTGTCTGTTAATTCCAAAGTGTAATAACAGCAAAGATATGAGTGTATAAATACTATTTTAGCTGCAATACTCTGTTTTTGGTCAGAAGGCACTGATGAAACATGTAATATTCACATGTCATAGTGTTAATCAGACCTATGTTAAGCAACTGCTCGAAATCAAGTTACTGTCGCATTCAATCTCGTCTTTTCCCTTTTGTAATTGTGATTTTTTTCCAGGTAATGTATTTTCTTGATAATGAATGTTGATTCGAAATATGTGCCCAATCTATAACTTAAGTAATTTAAGTTTTAGACTTTAGTAACTTTTTCTTCTAATTTTAAAATGTTCTTTGACGTGTTCCTCTTCGAATTTTTGATTAATTTGAATGATGTCGAATACAAGAGTCACAATTTATTTGCCTCAAATGCATTAGCGTCGTATTGCAAAGGAGTTGAATAATTGCCAAATAGGTAGTCCAAATTATTACACATTATAAACAATTTGCATTTTAAAATTTGTGTTGTATTTTCTTCGAATTTCTGAGACGTCAAACTATTGTTTAATTTTAGCATTTTGGCTTAACGTTTGTATTTTTTATGTGAAATATAAAGCTAATTTATTTCGGTTATAAAAGGTAGGTTAATTTTGTCTTTAAAATGAAGTTATTTTATGAGGAAGAGGAAAGAACCAGAGATAAATTAAGTTAGGTTAAAATTCAATATTACACTGGCGTTAGTTTATTCGAAATCGCTATCAATTTCGAGAAAATTAAGCATTGTACGTCCTTTTTCTTCACGAAGTAATACGTTCTGAAAAAAAAAATTGTCAAAGCATTCTTAAAGTCGTAGCACGCCAATTATTGGCAAAAATATAATAAAGTTTAAGACACATTTATACCTAAATATTAAATTAACGATTGCTATAATAAATCATATTTAATATTTGAAAGTAAACTAATCTCGAATGCGACTAGAATTCTGTAATATACCAGAAATAAAATGTTGCATGTGTTCTCAAAATGCTTAATAAAACTTATGATGGTTAAAATTCAATATTACATTGGCGTTAGTTTATTCGAAATCGCTATCAATTTCGAGAAATTTAAGCATTGTACGTCCTTTTTCATCACGAAGTAATACGTTCAGAAAAAAAAAAAATTGCCAAAGCATTCTTAAAGTCGTACAACGCCAATTATTGGCAAAAATATAATAAAGTTTAAGACACATTTATACCTAAATATTAAATTAACGATTGCTATAATAAATCATATTTAATATTTGAAAGTAAACTAATATCGAATGTGACTGGAATTCTGTAATATACCAGAAATAAAATGTTGCATGTGCTCAAAGTGCTTAATAAAACTTATGATGGAAATATTCTAGGGATTTTCTGATTTAGTAGTAATTTCATTTTATCTTTTAGACAGGGGATTTATCTAACCCAGAGCTCAGAATTATAACAAGCCAACTTCACAAAATTGTTCACAGAGGTAAGTTTCCCAAATAATACATTCATTTCTTAAGTCATTTATTAATTCATTTTGCTTTCTTAATTCTATAATCTATTAACACATTTACACTTAATAATTTAACATTTTAACATTTGCTGTATGTATATGGCACCTAAAACGTGTTGGGCATATAATGCTCATGAAAATGAAACAAGATGAGCATTCAATTTATTAATTAAATTTTTAAAGTGCATAAGGAGAATATAATTCTAAATAATTTATTTCCATGGGAACTCGTAATTTTATTTACATGTGGTACATTGATAAGATATAATGTATTGAATTTCGAAGAACGAACTGCTTTTAAGTGACAACTATACCATGCTTACTTTGACATTAAAAACTGTTGTTGTTGTGTTTAGTCTTGCTTGTCTGATATCACAGCAAGCGCATGAAATTCATCGTAGCAAACATTACACCTGTCGTTGGCAAGAGCCTTGGGCATCATACAGGTGACAGTGCGACTTTGCTCAGTTCCTTCCCCAGTTTTTTGATGGAAAGCATCCCGGGAGTATATAAGCATTCCGTAATGCAACACGCGTGTAGGGAAAAATCCATCCTTGTGAATGGGTATGGCTTCGGATGACATCATTTTTTCTATGCTTAGGAACTTGACTTTATTTGGGCTCGAGAGTAGACCTCCATACCGTTCGTTTACATTTTGATAGCAATACTGGAACTATAATTACTATTAATGACGTGAGTTGTACTTTTGTTGCGATCAGATTACATTTCTTACGGAAGTGTAGTGTTGTGAATTTGATATAAAAAATTGTAATGATTTTTTTCCCTAGAGAGAAAAAGTATTGCTTCTTCTTGTATGCTAACTCCGTAAATGTGCATTATTGCAAAGGTTTTAAATACATATATTCTTAATTTAAAACTGTCCATATTAAAGGTGTTGCGATTATTAATTCACTTTTTCCTGTTCATTCGATAGCCATTCTCTGCATGCACAGTCTCCGAAAGCATAAGACAAGTCAGCTTTCGCGAATAGTAAAAACGGTGTGAGCGAACATAATACAGAGTAAATTCAAGATAGCTGTAATAAATCTGAAAAGCAAATTTTTATTATAAAAAGTATCTAGTTAGTTTCGAAGTCTTCAATTAGCTTGGAAGAAATAAAATAGGAACCTTCTTATATTTATGATTTTATTTTAGAATTATTTTTTAGCATAATGTTTAAAATAAAATAAGTAGAGCACTGAGCTAAAATGTTTTTATATAATGCAGTACATTTCAATATTTCTTTTGATTTCAAAAGTACTAGCATTTTATAAAATGTTCGTTACATTATGTTTTTAGAGAAGCAGCCTTTCTATAGCTGAAATCAATATAAGACTTTCTCTTTAAGTTAAGAATGAATTGTGATATGTTTTAAGAATTCAATGCGAAATATGTACCCTAATGTTTTTAAACTGCTGAATATTATAACTAAGAACAATAAGAATAGTTTTCCATTTGAAATTACACTCATTCTTGTAGTTCAAATAAAAGTATCAGCACAGTAGGAATATGACGATAATGAATACTAACACTAAAGTTTCAGTAAATGCTAAATGTAAGAGCACTAACTAATCAATTTTTATTTAACTACTCTTTTAATTAACTTTAACCGGCAATTTTTCTAAATTTCTAGTAAATGAGAAGCTACGACAAATAACGTTGCAACCGATATATAGTGAGGTAAAAAAAGAGTTTATACATTTGTATGATTTGAAAGCAGTTTCGAGTCTTATGTAGAATTTTTTATTTAAATATGCTGATTCGTTTTTAAATTAAGAAACTCAATGCTTAAAAATATTGAAGCATACATTTAAAAGAATCAATATAGAGATATTATGCAATTAAAAGCTATCTTTTCATATCATGAAAACATTAATGAAAAAAAAAATATTATATATATAACATTAATATTAAAACAAAGAAAAACATTTTACTACTTAATGGAATATCTTTTCACATTGCCAATGGCTTGAAGATGTTTAAAACTTCAGTTTACCATATTCAAGCGCAATGGCCCACCAGCGGCCGAGCGGTAAAGTCTCTGAACACTGGTAGTTCTGTCCGAGGTTCGAATCCCGCGAACAGGCTGGCTGCATGGGTGTTTTCGTGGTTTTCCCATGTGTAACGTGTATACGAGCCAGTTTCGCTTAGAAAGTCCTCCACGAAGGCATTCCTCTCCTTAGGCAGATAGCCCTCGAGGCTTTGCCGTAATTAAATAACCTAACCTAACCTATTTCAAGCCCAATGTTTTTAATATTTTCTCATTCGTAAATTAAATGATGCTTAAATCATGCTTATTTGACATTTAGCTCTTCTAAACTTCTCATTTTCTCAAACATATTGAATTGGATTAATATCTGGTAACTCTAGTGAAGTTTATGCGAATTTCTGATGTATTGCACAGGCATCACTCCTTCAGAGAGAGTTTTGTGTCTGGGATCATTATCCTGTTGAAAGTAAAAATGTATTGAAAGAACCAATTTTTGCGCACTCGTTTAAATATGGTTTTAAAATTATCAATTAACCATATTTATTCAAAGCATCAAAAAGTATATGCAAGTTATTTACACAATTTTCAGCTATATACCACCAGATCATTATATTTCCATCAATGTGTATTACTTTTGCTTGTATAACTTCCTTCTTCATAGCTTCGCTAGCTTTCCTCCACACTAATTTTTGTCCATGTGATTACTCAATATTCAATTTATATTCCTTTAAAAAATACATGATACCAAAGTTCTTTAAGCTTGTTAATTAATTATTTTGTAAATTAGCTTTCCTTATGAAATGCTTTTATCTAGCTATTCCATCATGATATCCACTTTCTTTTCTGTCAAATTTTCAATTTTTCTCGAAAGAATGTCTTTTATGGTCACTTCGGGAAGTTTAGAATGTACTTTCCAAGCCTCCTATACCACGTACAAACTTTTCATTTGTGAACAGTTTTGTAATCAGATTGAAATTAACCGGCCTTTCAGTTGTTTCTTGTTGCTCAATTCCACACTTAAAATCGATAAATAAATTTAATTTAAAGCATAATTTTCCTATAAAACAAGCAGAATTAAGCAGTGATTTACCTAGCTAGTTGTTGGTTTGGTAGTAAACAAACCACGTTTTACACCTTGAACCATCTATGTCATCAACTCCATGTGCAGCGCAAGTTCTTTGACAAGTTTATGGATATTTTCTTGCTTTGCCTATAGTGAAAAGATCATGGTCACTGGTCATAATAAAATTTTATGCGAGTGCCGAACTAGAACATAGTTTTACAATGAACCATTATATTTGCTTGCATTAAGTTGGTAATACTATGAAAAAGTTGTAATCCGCTATTAAGCAAAAGAAGACAAATGTATGATAAAAATTATCATAAAGGAAAAACTGTGAGCTATTATCCTTTTTTGGTATAATTACGAATGCAAGGAACTTGTCATAAAATTAAACATAAAAAAAATTTCACGCATCGTAAATTACTTGGTATTATTCATGTGTTTCATTTTTATATGATAACTTTAAGAGGAGCAATTTTAAAGATAAAAAAAATTCATAGATTTAGTATCGCAAAATCAACACAATTCAAGTTTGTAATTTAATAAATGTATACTGTCGTATTTCACAATTAATTTCAATTCCTTGATACTTTCATGATTTTATTATCTAAATATTTCCCAGCATTTACATTACATTATTATGCTAAATGCGGTAATACATTTGTCAGCGAATTAGAGTTTTCTTCATTTTAAACAAAATATCTACGGTAACTAACCTTATAACTCTAAAATAGAAGAATATGTCTGTTGCATGCAAGTGCTATCGATTTCTTTATATGATGTTATGCCGCATCAAATATTGCATTCTGAAAACTTCAACTAGAATTTTATTTTCTTTAATATAGTGAGAAAATTATTAATTATGTTTTATTCGAAAAAATTTTCCTTTAATGGTGCTGCGTACACGAATTTAATACAAAAATCTATCTGTCAGGAAGCCAAACACATTTCTTGAAAGCTGAAAAAAATGGTTTCTCTATTTCAAAGAAAACGTCTCCTAGTATTAGTCTAGACTTTTCCTTATCGCTTTCAAAGCATTACCGTCTAAATAAATATTTCTAGGAAAACTGGTTTTTCCCTATAAAGGATGGATCCCTATAAGAATATCAAAAATATTACATTTCACTCAAACATTTCAATTTTAATTCGGAAATAAATTAAAATATCCCCATCAGGTTTGCGCTTGCAAACAGTAAAGAGAGATGTACGGTTTCCCTTTTCCAGAAATTACAGGGTCATGAAATTCCCTAAAGCAAAGTGTGGACTACATTTGTAAATAAACTAATTATACATGTCCTTGTTTCTACATCTACGTCGAATTATTTGAAGTGATAACAAAGTACCGAAGTTGACCTTTTCTTCCTAATGTGCCAGATTACTACTGTTCTCCCTTGGCTATATATACTACTTTAGGTTTATTATTAAGCAACAATGAGCTATTGATCTTACATCGTATGGTCGAATGGTAGAACCATCCCAGGAGATGCATTAGATGCCTTCAAACTTAGCACATGGGGAAGGACCATTGATCAGGGTAACGTTGGGTAGCGTTTAGCAGCGCTTAATTCTTAGGAACTTATATATATCAAAACATGTGAAAGTTGTAAGGTCGCGGTAATTTTCGAAATGGAATAGATGGTTTTCACTGCGCATCGTTGCATTTACGTCTACTCGTAGAAAGTTAAAATTATCATCATTAATTTTTATTATGGGTTAGAAAGTTTCATTCGTATGGCAGTCAGACATAAACTAAGAATATAGCAGACACATAAAATTGTTATTAAAAGTTTCTTTTTTATTTTCGCATTTTTTACAACCTTTATCACTCTGTCATGATAAGGTTAATTTATTTCATTCTCTCTCCAGTAAAATTGCTAAGATTAAAATTGAAATGCTTTCTTTACTGAGTGCAAATATGCA